GTAAAATAATGTGTAAATGTGAAGCTGTAAGCAGAACAGGAGAAAATCACGTACGGTCTTCAAAGATGAGTCCGACAGTGGCGACGGACTCGCGGCTGACGAGCATGATGGGATTGTCTCTGGAGGTTTTGGGGAAGGTCTTGGCCTGGCGGTTGGGGTCGAGGACCAGGTGGCGGCCCTCGTACAGCAGCTCCTGGTTGTGCTGCGGGATGCTGGTCCTGCGGGACAGCAGCTCCTGGAACAGCGCCGCCCTGTGGACACAGGAAGGAGAGCAGCTTTCAGATACACAGTCGACAACTCGTCCAACCCAGGTTCAGGTCTGACTCAGACCAAGACTGCCTTTGACCCAGTGCATGCTGGGACGTCTCCGGCCCGTGTACAGCCTCCCAACAACAATAAAGGTAACGATAGGCGGATATTTCAGGTTCTCTTGTCCCATTAGTGACTCCACTGCTTTATGCATCTATTAAGTCCAAATAATCAGAATAAAGTCTTACCATTTTCAGAATAAAGGCAGTGGGAGATGTGAATGACCTGCAGTTGCAGGTTTTTACCAATAATCACGTTATTATCAGAGATTTTCGGGTATTGAAATGAAAACAATAACCAATAATCATTATTAGTTGGATAGAAGTCGAACCAGACGAGTTGTGATCCAGAGGGAAGAAAAGATGATTTCTGTCTCACGTGTTGTATTCGTGGATGTAGACGTGGTGCAGCGTCGCCTGCTGCAGACTGAACACGTAGACGACCGTTCGGTGCAGGATGTCGTTGGTCTCGGCGAAGAACTGGTCGAAGCCCCAACACTTCTCCTGGTCGGCCTCCAGGATGTTGGCGAGGACCGGAGTCAGGAGGCTCTGAAGACCCCTGAAACACGGTAGAGTTGTTAGCCTGTTGAGTGGCTGCTTGGACGACGACGTCGTTTCTTGTAAAGAAATCACTGCTGTCTTACTTGGACAGACTGCAGGACACCGGCATCTCCGTACTCCACTCGATCTTCCCGTTCTCACACTTCTGGTGGCCGGAGATCGTCCCGGAGGGTTTCTCTGTGATGATTTTATACCTGAGGAACAAACAGTCAGTTCACTGTTTCACTGCAGTTTCATTCTCCTGTTTCAGCTTCTCGCTCTTACATGACTTCTTTGTTCCTGCGCGGCCCCTCGAACGGCCTGAACGGGAGGCTGCCGGTGGCGGCGTGGTAAAACGTGACCCCGATGCTCCACAGGTCCACCGTGGCGCCGTATTTCTTCTGGTGGTCTTTCCTCAGCACGGCTCGCTCGTACATGTCGGGGTGCTGCACAGGAAACACACGAAGAAGAGTTCAACAGGAAGTTAAAGACGTGTTCAGGTTGTGATAGTGAGTGCGTGTTTACATCAACCTGGTGATAACATTACCTTTACCATGATAACATTACCTTAACCGTGATAA